AACCGCTCTCACCCACTGACCGGCTGAAACACAACACCCATCACTTTTGCATTTTGCAACCACATGATGACATGTGGGCCTGTTTTGCATCTAGCACAGCCGTTTCCTGTGAGCCCTGGCCGGGTTGCCTATTAATGTAATAGACATATCAAATTAAACTTCACTGTGCTTTGGAGCTGATGCGTAAAATGTCATATTCAAGATCCTTTTCACATTTGCAGAAAACTAAATGGCTTGGACTAATGTACAGTTATGAAATAAGGCCTGGCTTATAATTAGAAGTCGGTAAACATTACAAGGGACTGGAATAAGGCGACATCTGTTTCCATATGGTTTGCATTATTTATGGCTAAAGTGGCATCTTTTATTTACTAGCTCCGTTCATCAGGTGACAGAGAAAGAAGCTTACCATTTCTTGCTTCAGGAAAAGCATTTTGCTCTCCAGCCTTTTCAAGTCCGCAGAACTATCACGAAATGTGCCGTTCATTACAAGCGGGGCTACCATCTCCTGCTTGTCGTGATGTTGTCCTGCAGCCAGAGAACGAATGAGACTCTCCGGGACTTTTCGACCAACTTTTGTCTCTATATCCTTCAGGTCAGGCAGGACGTTGTAAGCTTCGTCCATTGTAGACTGTCACGGAGATTGTGCGTTGTCTCTCTATGATCTGGAGCAGGCAGAAGAGCAAAGTGCAGAGCTGCGACCTCGGGGGTGCCCCCACTGATGTGTGCGGGGAGACGCGCACGGAGAGGCGGATTCCAAGTAGCTAAAAGTTACAACGAAAACGCGCATCCAACCGGCGTTAAGCAGGAAGCGATGGGACCTAATTCACAGCTGTCACACCAGCAGTGCTACAAACGGAGCGTGCGACCAGCAGTGGGACAGTTTAATGCCAACGCGCTCTGGACAGACCCCTCCCATAAAGGGAGAAACCCGACAGGTGAGCTGACGCCGGGGAGCGGCGTGGAACGAGCGCTTTCGTGTGCACATACATTTTTCAGGGTTTACACATCACGCGTTGCTCACCTAACACTCCCCATTTGTTTAACATACGCGTTGGCTGCACCTAACACTCCCCATTTGTTTAACATTTTAATCATATGAATGTCAGTGCGAAGTGGAACAAACCACTGTGTGCACGCGTAAAATGGAATCATTTATATCATGTGTACCCAGATGAAACAACATTTGAGCACAAAGCAGCATTAATGACTACTTCACAATGAAAACGACAAAAAGCAGCATTTCATCTGAGTGTAAAGTCTCAGCGTTCTGCATTTTGTTCCACTTCTTCTGAATCATCACCAAATGTCTCTTAATCAGTTTTCAACAATTCAGGTCATGTGAATCAATTTATCTTAATAATAAACAAACAAAAAAGCACCAACAAGCGTTGTACATGTGAGTTTCAGTCTAAACCATTGCATCCCCTTGTGGGTGATGTGGCTCCATCACCTTATTGTGCAACTCAACTAAACTGTCAGATGAAGAAAAGTGTTACAGTCTAGAAACATGGTAGAAGCTCATGAGTTTGTTTGAATGGTTTTGCAGCCCCCTGTTCCTTTGCACTGTGTTGTGACAGAACGTGCTGAATCACTTCTTCACAGCTGATCATCTTTGAAATCAAAATGAATGAAACCAAAGCATGAAGACACCACATAACATCACCATAAACATTGCCATGAAATTTTAAAGGCCTGACCAGACTTGGAGCTGAGCACCACCTGGTGGCATCACTATCATACAGCACTTCATTTGGTAACGTTCACTTTATTTGAATATATGTTCCATTTATACATTTTCCAGAAATGTGAAAATTGAAGAGAGACTACCTTTGCTGAAAGAAAGAGCCAGAAGATAATATTATTTTAAAGAATCTACACAAACTGCAGCCCTGTGTCACCATGAAAGTGAAGGGAAGAGGCACACAGGTGAGTGTGCACACAGATCTCAGACTACAGATTGGCTTTTGGCGTCATCATACCGCTGGTACTGATCCCCAAGCAGAGGCTGATGGCCCTCCATCCTGTAAGACCTGGCACGTAGGGCACATGTGGTGGCAGCAAAAATGACTGCAGCTATCATAAGAGCAGCAACTATTGCCATGGTGATGATTTCAGTCAGAGTGTAAGGCTGACCTGGAAAGGAAGACTTAGGTGATGGTTATCCTTGTAATCTGCATTTACTCAAAAGCAAAGCCACAAAAATAGTTTGTGCCTACCTGGCCATTCAACATCATAAGAGTAGCCAAGATTGTCAGGTGCAGTCACAAACATCTCAGCGTTGGTCACTGGAGGCCAGAAAGGCACCATGTTGTAGCCCCTGTTGTGGCCAATGGGGGCATTTTCATCAGGATACACAGATGAACCTGTCCAGAAATACTGCAAGTTAGTCTCAAAGCTCATTAGACTAAAAATTAAACAGCAAAATGTTCAGGTAGTATAAAGTAAACCAGAAGAACAAGAGGATTAAAAACCACCTGGACTGTGTCTTCTCAACCATTCATCAAATATAGCATCGGTGTAAGAGTGGAGCAAGACAAAGATGGGGTCATTGGGTGAGAGGTGGGTCTGTCCTCCTGTCCCATTCAGGAACAGATGAGCCAGGTTGTGCAGGCTCCTCACCATGGGGTCATAGTTTCCCTGGGGGGTGCTGTAGCCTGCCAAAACAACATGAAAACACTTTAAAATGGAGGCTCTGTGACACTCAGACAGAGGATGAAATGTCTTTGCAGTCACTCACCTTCAATGGTGTTTCTGAAGCTTTCAGAGGAGGTGGAGTAGTAGGGTGGGGCGTCAAAAGTCTTGACCTGCAAGCAGTCTGCCACATCCTGAGGCTCTGGTAGATGCTGGACCATCGGCCTGTTCACGTTTCCTGCTGGGTTCCTCCTGATGGGAGTTGTCTCAGTGCCTTGGAGGAGAAAGAAAAAGGAAACCGATAAAAGACTACAGTAACTTCTGTGCACTCAGAAGAATAAAGAAGATCTGTGTAAACAAACAACAGTCTTACTGTTGCAGATGGTTCCCAGTGTGTCATAGTCTTCTACGCTCTCACAGATGACCCTCCACTGGGAGAAGATGGAGTTGGAGCTCAGGGAGTTCATGTCAAAACTGCTCCTGGCACCCATCAGGTCATCAGAGCAGATGTCACATGTGTTTCCACCAATGGCAAAGTTCCAGTAGGGCAGGGCGAAGGAGGGGTCACGCAGCATGTCCTGGTTGTTTGATAGGATGGATGGATGAGACATCGAGACCAGAGCACCGAGGTTTTAACAATCAGTATAAGCAAACAACACCTTCAGGAATTTGCTGGCTGCTTCATTTTATTGTGCTATAAACAACACAGTGCTGTTCCCCTTAATTATCATCAAAATATCCACAAAGTCTCATTTAGTAACGATAAGGTCCAGAATAACTTGGCTCTCACATATGATGATTTGCTTGGAAGATAGTCTCTAACAATAGCTGAACAAATAGTTCAATAAATAAAGTCTGGCCTCGGTAGAAAAAAACGAACTTATTGGACTTATTTTAAGACTGCTTAGTTGATCCAGGATTGGTAAGTAAAGGTATGCATCACAGACTATTTTCACACCTGTAAATCACTGTCTTACACCTCATCTCTGTTTTTGTCCTTTAAAACATTTTCTTCACAGGTTTTTGATCAAGATAATCCAACACACTAAAATCCAGGAGCTGAGTCATTCTTCAGTCATCCTAGTAGGTGGAGTTCATCCTCATTGCTCTCCCTGAAACTGTTCATCCTCGTCAGGGTACAGCAGCTTCCATGCCTGTGCCCTAAAACAACCCTGCCTAATTGTGAACCACTGGATGGATATGATAATTATACCAACTCTATGGATGTGGAATATTCTCCACCCATCACTTTGATAATTGGTGCATATACCAAGTCCTCCCAAAGCTCTGCTCTGCGCACCGAATCGATGGTGTGCCTATTAAATCCAATGGAAGTATATAAAACGCTTACAATTACATTTTGCATGCTGCTGGCTTATTATGACATGCCACTGCTTCGTCAATTATGGTTTCCTCGACAATATAGCTGTGGGGAAACGCATTACGAAAAACAAACAAGCAGGGGAAGCGACAGGTTGAAGCCGAATATTGGTCGGAGATGTACTGGTAAATTAAAACTGCGGATAAACAGTCAGGTAACGATTACCCACAACCACATACACAACATCACATGGAGTGTTTTCTTTTATCTAGAGACATCAGAACGGACATAACCTGTGTGAATGCATTTATAGCCCCATTAGTCCAACTCTCACCCCTCTTCACACAAAAGCTCACCTGCATGTCTCTCTCCAGCTGCAGCAGGTGGTACCTGTGCCAAGTGAGGAAACCGGGGCCCTCGTGTGAGAAGTCTACTCCTCCGAAACTGGCCTGCCCCGCGCCCAGGAACGTCTTACTGACGGAGTAATAGTGGCTCCACACAAAGTAATTGTAGATGGAGATGTTCTCGAACTGCACGGTGTTCCCATCGGGACCAAAGATCTCCGCATAGCGCCGCGTAGCGATCACCAGGTCGGGGTGCACCGTGCGCTTGGCTCGGTCCAGCGCGTTCACAAACGCGCGCTTCTCGTCCGCGCTGAGCTGCATCACGTTTGTTCTTACTGGTGGATTATAGCAGAGGAACATGGGTTAATTCAACCAGTCATGCGTTAGTGTAGGATCCGTTTTAAGTACAGAAAACAAATCTTTGACCGTTTTAATCATTAAACTCTTTTATCAAAAATCATTCTCTGAGTTGTGCTGCCCTGACTATTAAAATGCATTTAGTTAATTTCATTGAAATGCGTTTTCTGAAATATTGCCATGTAGAAACTGATGCGTCTTAAAGCTCCGGTCCTATTGAGCAATGACGTTGAATCAAATTCTGTGACTAAGAAGCATAAGTTAATATAACTAACCCTAATCAAACTAGTTCCAACTCACCAACAGAAACTCGCTGGCTACAGTTGACCCCTGTCCATCCATGTCTGCAGCGGCCGCAGTTATATCCGCTGAAGTTCCCGTTACACTGACAAGTACGATTGAAAAAACGGATGGGCCATCGCTCACGATCATCCTGTCCGTCGTGCGGGTACTGAGGCCCATGCGGCCGCGTGTCCACCGCGATGGGCATGCACTGTCCGCGGCCCGTGCTTGAGCCACATGGGTCGTTGCTGAGTCCAGAAGGCGACGGACAGCACTGACCACTCCTGAGCCCCTCGGGTGTCACACACTCTCTGGGGAACTGGGCGCTCACGACCACCGCGCTCACAAGGATCAAGAAGCGGCGCTGCCACATCGTCTAACTTTTACTGCTGCTGCAGATTCAGTCAGTTCCACCGAGTGAATATGTATCTGAAAATATACACTTCAGCTAAACCTTTATCCACAATGAACACGCATCTCTTGAAGACACCAGTGAATACTTTCTCAGCCGAGTGTGTAAAAGAATTCCACCCTCCCGTGCGCCCTGGCCCCTGCTTCTGTCCCCCCCAAAGCTCTCGGCCTTAAACACAGGATTAGCGCATGACTACCGGGCATTTCTGGCTCCCTCGTGATCACATCACACAACTTCATTTTTTTTTTTTACAGGGGATGGAGAAAAGGAAGCTAACGTGACGCGTCACGCAGGACCGTTTGTGGACATTGTGGTAAACGAAATGACTTTGTCCTGGTTTGAATCATTTTGAAGATTTGATACTAGAACCTGAATTTTAAATGTCCATATTTAACTTTATCAAACTTCACTGCTCTTCTGTCCTGTGCCAAGTCATCATCATCTGTCACTTAGCTAAACGAAATGACTTTGTCCTGGTTTGAATCATTTTGAAGATTTGATACTAGAACCTGACCTGCTTATCCAGGTTACTGAGCAAATATTGTGCTTGTTTTGTTCAGCCTCTGGCTGTTCTGACCATTTTTAATGATGCAATATTTATTTTATGTATTTCACTGCACAGTGGTCTGGCAACGCTGAATAGCTGAGCATTTAGAAAATATGAAATGATCGTGCCCTATATTTTCTCTGCAGAGAGAGAGTGTGAATCTTTTGACAGGAAGGCCTGGACAAGTTTTACAGGAGACAGACACCTCCACTAATATCAGCACTTTATAATAACTGAAACGGAAGGAATCCTCTATTTTTAGTTGTCTCCTGACTTAGTAGACCATGACACCAATATGGAAACAGCTGAATGATTTTGACAGTTGTCATCCCAAGAACAAACATCTCAATTTGACAGGGTCCTTGTAATCAACATGTCTGGATCTCTGTGTGTCTGGACATCAGTGATATTACTTTAGCAGCACAGTGTGGATCACTGATTATAGGCTATACTGATTCACTGACTGCAGGGCTTGAACCGAGGTCACACCAGTGCACATGACACTACCTGCTCCCCAACCTATTCGGGTGGAAGTAGAATGAGCAACTTGCAAAGAGACATACAATATATGTGTTTACATTATCTACTACTGCAGCTGTAAACGCATGACAGAAAAGCACTAAATGACCCCAAATGTGCTATTTATCTCAGACAGCCCCCCCCCCCATAAAATGAAAGAATTGTGACTCCACCTCAAAGGTTTTTCTGTTCAAGTTCAGGTCGTTTGACTTGGCAGGAAGGCCACGCTCTCTCTCACTCCACCACCTACTCCTGTCCTCAGTCTCTGGAAGCTTCTCTATGTGTTTTACACTCACAGTACTAGACAGAAATGATGCAACTATAAGCTCCAGGAAGATTTATAATAGGTACAATGCCTGGCTGTTTTTGTTGACAAACCTACAGCAACAACCCCAAGGACTTAGAATCTGGGGCAGAATCGGCCCAGCAGGTTCTTTCTACAAGATTCACTTTCAAGTCCTACATTGTTCTCATGGTTCACGTCAAGCTTTACAATAGATAGTTGCATTAATTGTTTAATATTACAGCTATCCTCAAGGGGATCAACACCCACTAATTAACAAGCGGGTGCAGGACGGTGAAAAACCCATGTCAGGTGTCTATACATTGCTGTTTTACTTCAGAGACCAGAGATTTTAGTAATGAGCAGCAGATAATCAGTGTTTCTTAAAACAACAACAACAACAATGCCAGTTAATCAATATTATTAGGAGTTAGAAGGTCCCAATAGTGGTGGGATAGAAGTACATGTCTGAGGTATTTGTACTTTACTTGAGTACAGCACATTCCACTTGGGTTGCAAAATAAGACACAGTAATTATTAAACATTGAACCAATGGTCTCCAACCTTTTTGGCATTAACCCCTTACAAATAAGCAGCATTGAGTTGTGGCATCTTCATGTGACCCTTTGAAAGGGCCTGAACCACTGGTTGGGAACCACAGGACTGAACTAGCAACAGCATAGAAAGTATTTAAAACTCACTCCGCTTCAACCGGCAAGAACAATAAAATGCTGCTTACACAGTGATGCACTAGTATCAATATTTTAATAATTAAACACTGTTATAGATCAGTCAAACAAATACTTTTACTATTCATAACTGATAATGCTGCACTTTTTAAGTAGGGTTTTGAATGCAGGGTATTCACTTGTTACTACAACTCAACTAAAGCATCGAGTAAGAGTACTCTCCTTCCACCACTGATAAAACAAATACTGAAATACATTGCTGCAGAAGATCTGAGGATATTTTTGATGAAGTTTGCTCTAAACCTCTGGAGCAAACCTGCCATAGCTGCAATGTGCTTGGAGGCATTTGTTGAAACTGAGGCCATCAATATTGATAGAGATGTAAACTGGAAAAACAGAGCATTCATCATTTAAATGTACTCCTTGTGTGTATAAAATCCTGTAACAATACAGCAGTTTTCTAAAACTATTTTTTGCCCAATATGTTTCCAAGTATTGAAAGGCCAGGGTTCTTGCCCAGTCACATGCGCTTCACGTTGGCAGAGTTCAGAAATCCAGGCTGCATGAATCATTTCATAATTGGGGTGTGGCTGCAAGGATCACATAAAGCCAGTCCTAAGCCTATTCTCATGAACTACAGTTGAAAATACAGTCACATTCCTGATGTGTGTCCAGTTCCCAGGTCCCACAGTAAACTAGCAGGAGGCCTTTTAAGGTTGTTATGATCATCACCGTTTGTCTGAGTATCCATCAGAGAGTTCTACAGTTTTTTAAAATGTCAATGTGAATACTGCAATAGTTACAATTATTTTGACTTTAAGAGTCTTATACTGGCCCTAAATGAATTTTCTGTGGTTTATTGTGATTACAGTCTTGTGGGTATTTAATAATTCAAAGTGCTATTAACCTAAGATGCACTGCAGTGTTTTTAAGGTCACAACTGAGGAGAAGAGGAGCCAGCTATTCACTGACTGTCTGGTAATTATGCCAGCAAGAAGGTTTTATGTTTGCCATCTCTCTGCCCGACTTCCATATAGTTCACTTTAGTCCATAAATGTGGCAAATGAGTGTACATGAATATGATGTAGAGCCAATACAAGGCTATTATGATTACACTGGAAACAGAGAGGCTGCAAAATAGGTAGTCGTAATTCAAAGCAATTTCCTTTGCTGCTATATGAGGATTTCTCTCATCTGTAAAAGCAAATTTATTCAATTATCCTTAAATTAATGCACATTATATTAGGTCAAAAGAATAAACACAAGAATAACTAAAAGATCAGGGGTCATATCACCTACTAATCTATGGTTAGAAATTCATTAGAAATGAAGCAGTTTGCTGGAATCCTGGCTTTGGCATTTAATAACTGGCAGCTAACATGATATTCCAATGTGAAAGGACACTAGCAGTGCTAATGCTAATGTGGTTATACACAAACCTAGTGCCAAATGACCTGTGTGTGTCCAAAAGCATTAACAAACACCAGGGGTTAAATGTAAAAGCACAGAGGTGCCCTGACACATTAAATGTTAGGATACAAATATTACCATCACGCTGCTTGCTTGCTGCATAAATTAAAAGCACCGGTGCTCTAATTCTGGTTGTTATACTTGTAACATTAGTGAAAATCCTGCTCTTTCTTCAGAATATGCCGATGTGTGAGATTTGGCTGGTGCACTTTTAGTAGGGGTGGAATTTACTTGTGTTTATCTTTGTTTGCTTACCTGAAATTGGCTTTTAAAAGGCAACAAGGCAAGAAAAATACAGTATTTATCTTATTAAGCATAACTTTAGCTAAACAAATGCTTCCTATTATTATTATTTTCTGGTTTAAGTGTTAAGTGTTCTGCATACTATATTGTTCATTTTGCCAAAGTGCATTAGGTTAAAGCTGCATAAAAAGTGAGGCTACACACAATTCTACACAGATCTACACAAAGCCTGCTCAGCATGAAAGCTACACAAAACAGAAACATGTATACATCTCTTCTGCTTGTCCTGTGCCCACGGCTCCGCTGACCTCCACCCTTCCCCTAGCTACCGTTTAGTAGGTGCCCACGTCTGCGCACGTGTGTGAATAAAGCTTGGGCAGGATAGAGGATCATGTGAGAAGATGTGACTCAGGCTTAATGGTAATCCTTGCCTTTGGTAAAAATGGCACAGTGGGAGTCATTAGGAGGGAGCTATACAAGCAGTTCATATGACCGCTTCACTCTCCTCCCTCCCCTTTCCTCACCCCAAAGTCAGTGTGCAGCTGTGCTTTCACAGACTCTCTTCATTTCATCTGCTTGTTCACATGTTCATTTGCTTCTCTGAAAATGAAGGAAACAAAAAATATTTTTCTCTACCTGAAAGAATGAGTCATGTGGGCACTGTTATTGCTTAAGGCCCAGTGGTATAACAATACAATGGGTCTACAGTCATGCTAGCAACTCTGCAAGGCTACGTTAAGCACAATGCTCACCATCTTAGCAGATTAGCTTGCAAATATTTGTTAATTAGCAGTTACAAAGAACAGCTGATACAGGTATTTGGTCATAAATCAAAGTATTAGACTAAAACATTGAGAACAGACGAGCCAGAGAGTCACTGAATTGATCACACTTCATCCTGAGGAGGGCATGAATAGCTGTACCAGATCTCATTGCAACCCATCCAATAGCTGGACTAAAGTGGTGGAATGACCAACGGACCAACACTGCCATAGAGGCACACTGCTGAAATGGCTAAAAGCAAATCAGAGTGTGGCCAAACAGAAGGTTAAAATTAATTTAATAACACAATATAAGATTTTAGTGTCAGAGATGAAATAGCCCTTTTCTAATTGCTACATGGTGTATATAGCAGACAAGGTAGGGTGAAAATGAATATTCATTTTGGAGAGAGCTTGGTCTGCCACTTGGTATCATGTTGTAATCTGTTATGAACAACACATGAACACCTAATGCTAAAATGAGTTTTACATAAAGGCCACTTCCTAACTGAGCTCAGAGTGAATGGAGGTCTATCGTGCAGGGCCGCTGGCTTACACAACGGCAGGCTCATGATCAGAGCCCTGGGGCTGTCGGGGTGAAGGGGGCAGTTCTAATCTCTTTTC